TCAGCAGGAAGGGACATTTCTTCCATGGTTTCTATCTCTGGCTCATTTCCCGTCTCATTAGGAATCTTCTCAGATACTGCCACTTTAGATTTCGATAATTCCTTGGCAACTGTAACCTTGGCTTTACCAGCAGGACGTTTACTAGCTTGATGCTTTACTACCAGCGAAGATGGCTTCTGTTTTTCAGCTTTATTTGTGCCTCTCTTAGGAGGCATTGCCTCTTCACATTTTGTCGCAGGGCAAATTGCTTCTGACTTCTCTTCTGTTGCTGTACTTGGCTTTTTTGAAAGATGAACCGATTCTTCATCCAGTGCCATTCCTAACTCACATTCACATTTGTCATCTGGAGCCTCGGTCTCATCATCCAAAAGCTCAGTTCGGTCTCCAGCATCCTCTACATATTTATTAACTGTTGCCTTGGCTTTACCAGCAGGACGTTTTCTTGCTTGATGCTTTACTACCAGTGAAGATGGTTTCTGTTTTTCAGTTTTATTTGTGCCTTTCTTAGGAAGCATTGCCTCTTCACATTTTGTTGTAGGGCAAATTGCTTCTGACTCCTCTTTCGTTACTGTGTCTGGCTTCTTTGAAAGATGAACTGATTCTTCAAGGGCTATTCCTAATTCCTCTTCACATTTGTCATCTGGAGTCTCGGTTTCATCATCCAAAAACTCAGTTTTGTCACCAGCATATTGTGCACTTTTACTAACTGTTTCTTGCTCTTTTGGTTTATTAAGATCAAGGATTTGGGGACATCCCTGTTGCATCTTCGCATCACAAGTTGCAGTCTCCTTGCTTCCGCCAGAAAAATTTACATCTTCACCTTGCAAGATAGTTTTATTCAAGGAAAATGATTTTTTCTGCCTAGCAGTGGAACCTACTTTAAGTTTAGAACCCAAATATCTCTTGGCAACTGACTTCTTTCGGGGTGATTTTCTAGTCAGTTTAATACTTTCTTCGTTGCTTAAATCCAAATTAGTACAACCAGAGGATTGCACATTATGTGACTTTTTGTTTCCCGATGATGAACAACCAAGATTTTTAGTGACATTATGTTGCTCTGCTTCATTACCATCAACTTGTTGCATTCCAGAACCTGTGACATCAAGCTTGCCATTAACTTTAGACACACTGAACATCTGAACAGCCGTTTGTGGTGAATTATGATATACATTATCGCACGGAGCAGATTCTGGGCTTGCATTTCTTGAGAAAGGCTCATCAAACGCCGGCGAGTCAGAGGTAGAACCTACAGGTTTTGAAACTAAGCAAGCGTTTGAATTATTTATACCATCTTTGCCGATAGAAAAATAGTCGTCAGCTACAGGTGGATGATCAACCTGAGACGTCACTTTATATCCTTGAGATTTACCATTGGCTGATGAGATGGCGCCAGCGATCATCTTTCTTGATTTTAATTTAGTAGAAGAAGCTTCATTGATCCTCTTTTGAGGCAATAAACTAATTGGCTCATCTTCTTTAACAAAATCATTTCCTTTGCCAGAAACTTCAACATTGGTAGATTTGATACCCTCACTGTTTTCACAGTTGGTGTCTTCTCTGCCAGAGCTTTCGTCTAAGATCCTTGGGAGAGAAAATCCCCTCTGGTTCTTCCTCGAAAAACTTGTACTAAGCTTTTCATTTGAATGTGCAACTCCAGCAGCACTCGCAGAATTTGATCTCAAGTCACTTACCAACTTCTTAGACTCTGGGGTGTCATCATGCAGTTGAGGTTTCTGGCCAGATGCCTGGCAGCCAAGTGCCTTTGAAAAATCAGCATTCATAGGATCACTGGTCTTTACATATTTGTCAGGTAATTGACATGGTGTAGAATGTCTAGAAACATCAGGAGCCTGAACCTTTGAGTCATCAACATTATGAAAGCTCAAGTCTTGATCAGATTTGTTCCTATTTCCTGGAATGATTGAAGAGGTTTCACCATTATTGACGTTGGGCAAAACCTGTGGACCAGTAGACTCTGGTAAGGCATTTGATGCCTCTCTTACTGATTCCAAGAATCCATGAGTAGAAGCTATACCAAATTTCAAACTAAGGGGGCTTTGTTTTCTAATGCTTCCTCCTGATTGTCCCAGCTTATAATCTTCAGCCTCTTCCTCAGAATCCTTAGCCTGTTCCTCCATCTCTAGTTCAAAACCACTATTGAAAAGGAACAAAGGTTGAGTAATTAATTGAAAAAGATGAGAACTTTCCAAAGCTAAGGGGAAATAAACATGTAATTATTATGTTATAGAAATTAAAAAAATGTGATTTAATCACACATTTTCAACTATAATTTGAAATGGCTATTACAGCCATCTGCATTTTAAAAAAATAAGTCTGCATTTTTAATTTTCATATTGTGTGCCCATTATAGTAATTCATACTGATCTCTGTCAGTTAATTAAAAATGCAACTTAACTTAACAAATTCCCTCTATTTTGTGACATGATAGTGAACATTGCAAATGCATGAATGTAAACCACCTTGGAATCCCAAAGAATGCAAGAATGGATGAGCACAATGAGCATTATGCATATTGACATTAAGATGTTGAGTAAAGCAAATAACATCCTATATTCCACCCAAATATAGTTGAGCTATCATTTTCCTGACCCATAATATTACTTGCTGCAATCATTTTCAAGGTCATGGTCATCCAATAACTTGAAACAAATTGTAGACAATCTCCAAATATACAAGAGAGTTATAAATATGTAATCATAGAGAGAAGAATACAGGCCCCCAATACGTGAAATGCCACATTTGCACTGTATGCTAGGAGGTGGAGAAAAATGTACTTTAAATTATAAACTATATTTGCAATTATAAATGGTACAAGGCTTAACCTCTTGTTATATTTGTCTTCAGGAAGAATCATCCATTCCTTCAAGCTGAAGAAATAAACAGAACATTAATTGAAGAGAACTCAATTTATATAATTCCAACAAATCAATTGAAAAAGCTTAAATAGATGAGACTCATTCAGATCCATTAAAAGAAAGACATACATACCAATCTTCCAACCAACGATGATTAACTAGCTTTATTGTGCTCAATCTCTTGGCAAGCAGATACTTCTCTCCTATATTGAAAATCAAATTTTATAACAGAAGAACAAACAAAATGAAATACATCATAAAAATGAATTATCTGCAATAATAGCAATTAGGAGAACAAAAATAGCAACACATGCAACTGACTGTAAATTCCAAAATTTTAGAAGATGAAACAAACCTTCAAATTTGTAGCATATGAGATGAGTAACCTTGTTTGCCACCAATGGCTTAGAAAACTGTGCTCCCATCAGGCCAACCATCGTCTGAAGAGGGAAATTAAGGTGAAATCAAGTAACTTTACATAACAAGCTGCAGAAACTCCTGGAATAAAATCAACACAATAACGTATAAGGAGATGCCCACCATAATGTCATCTCGATCCTGGCGTAGATAACCAGTCAAGCACATTATCAAATCTTTTGCGCCTGGTATTCCGTCCAAGTCTTTAAGAGGCCTGTACATAACCTGCCAAATGGAAAATACAATTTGCTCAGTTAGGGGGTAAAATTACAGTTAATTCATCCCACAAAGAAGCACAAGCATGAAACAGCCACTGGTTCTCAAAATGACTAGAAGTTCAAGATATTTTCTCTACATGGAATGTAAACAAAACCAATTAACTTATTGGATGAGTTTGTTTGGATTAAAGTTTAAAAGCACTTTTGAGAATTTCTCAATTGGAAAATACTCTTTATTTCAATAGAAGCTCTCAAAAGAACTTCTAACTTTTATTTAAGTAGACTCTAAATGTTTATCATATAAGTACTTATGTAGAAGTTATTTAATCGATTAAAGGGAAACTTGGGCTAAATTATTTTTATATATGTTGTAACTTGTAAGCTGTTTTCATACACTATCCTGGAAAACTTAATGTTATACGAAATATCATAGGTTATTTTCGTAACCTCTTCTCTCAAACACTTGCATAAGTGTTTATCCTACATGATAAATTCAAATAAATTGTTTCAAACAGAGTCAAAATATTTGAGAATAAGCAAAATCACTCCAATTAAGATAATGGAAGAAGAAACTAACCGAAGCAGCATCAACGGGCATTCCAATATCAGCACTGTGATCGACCCACAATGCAGTGACGAGCGTCTTCCGATCATTTCTAGCAGCAACACACAGAGGATCGTCCTACACACACAACACACAGTTCTCCCACCTTTCAAAATCAAGGCCAAAGATAGGGTTAACGAAAGAGCAAATCGAACTGAGCTCACATATGCAATCTTATCGACAATGACATGCGTGCAACTTCCACCGTACTGCCCTACGTCAACTCCACCACCACTCACAAGCTTCGACCGGATCTACACAATCACAAACCGCAAGTAAAACAAAACAACGTCACGCCAGAAAAGAAACCCTATTAGGAAACGGAAGAGAGAGGGAGCAAGAGAAAACCTGTCTTTCGGCGACGGGGTTGAAGCCACGGAGAACGAAACGAACACCGCCAAACATTCGCGGAGAATAACTCGCTTCCATCATTTGAAGAGAACGATTCTATGAAAGTGAGAATCGTAAACAAAAACTTGCGGAGGAAGACTCGATATGGTAATTGGTAACCAGTTGCAGCGCCAAGAGGGGTGAAAGGGTTTTAAATTTGTTTATTATTTTTGGGAAAAAAAGAAAGCGAGGGAATTTTTATTTGTCTCGTCCTTTTGATTTCGGAAGCGGGACAGTGAAAAAATGAGGATGGGCTCATTTGGCCCATATGCAGTTATTGGGCCGGGCCGAAGATTCGAGAAGAAATGTGATAAGAAAGTCAGTGAAAGCGGTTAAAGATTTCAATGAGCGCCGTGGGTTGGTAGATAGAAATAAAAGACATAAGTAACAGGGGATCGTGTTTGCTTCAATTCTTCAACAACCTCATTCATTCGCTCACTCTCACTGCGAATCATGGGTTGGATTACACGGTTCATAACTGCGGTGGCTTTCTTAGCCGTGGGAGTGATATTCTCACCGGAGACACTAGGGTCAAAATCAAACACCCTTTCCACCTACCTCAAACTCGCTCACCTCCTCAGCTTCTCCACCGCCTTCGGTGCCGCTCTATGGGTCACCTTCATCGGCGGTATCATCATGTTCAAGTACGCTTTTTTATCACTCCCAATTTTATTTATCTTTCTTACAATTTAGGTTTGGCCCTAACTCAGCTTCAAAAGTTAGTTCATGAGATGATTGTTGGTACTCACTTGTGTTAGGCCACTAATCGATGTGGGACTTTTGACAATTTTGTGTATTGCTGAATAGTTTGGGTAATGATTTTGTTGATTTAGGAATCTGCCACGGCATCAGTTTGGGAACCTGCAAAGCAAGATGTTTCCGGCGTATTTCTCCATGGTGGGTGTGTGTTGCGCCGTGTCGTTGGCTTCTTTTGGGTACCTTCACCCATGGAAAACTTCCTCCACTACTGAGAGATACCAGCTTGGGTTTTTGCTCTCTGCATTTGCGTTCAATCTTACCAACTTGTTTGTCTTTACGCCCATGACCATCGAGGTAAAGGAAAATTATATTAGCATGCATGCATTCTTATTGCAAGTATACCAAACAAGGCCTTAAATGTTGCTCACGATTCGGAACAGTACAATGACTAAGGGCTTATTTGGATAGATTTCTCTCAAAGTACTTCTAAAAGAAAAAAAAAAATGAAATTTTGGGGAAGTTAGTAGGAGATAGCCTCTACAACTTAGTTAGCATGAAGAAACTTATTTCATTTTTTCTCTCTACTTTTCACTCCCAGAACTGCTTTTGGAGAAGTTTACTGTTTACCCAGACAAACTTTAAATGAGATTAGTGGGGTAGAAATGAATTTTTGAGGAGTTAGATTATGGGTTTATAGTGAAGATCAAGTGTTGGTGTGTCTGTTTTCATATACATGCTTAGCAAAATCACGTTTCGAAAGTCAAAATGAATTTGCTTGTCGAAATTTCATGCACCTGCAACAATTTAGCTGTTCACTATAAATCTATAACCTTGAGTGGTTAAAGAAGCTTGATTTCATTTCTTGATCCTGTCAATTTTGATAACCGTTCCTATTGTTGTACTAAACTTGAATGGGAAATCATTTTGCAAAATTAAGGTAAGCATTTGTCAGAATAGTCAATTTGCTTATATTTCATAGGCTTAAATGAAGATCAACTTAATCAACCAAATCTATGATTTATGTTCATCTTAAATTTGATAAGTTGGCATCTGGTTTCTTACCTTTAATTCTTTGAGTTCTTTCCCATTTACATTTAAAAGGCAACACCTATAACCGCACCCAATTGATTTTCATTATGTTGATTCTGACTTTTATTATCATTACCATTTCATTAGTGCACTGATTACCAGCTCTTTCTGTCTTTCCATTTTTTTTCCTTGATTTTCTTTTTGTTTATTTTTTTTCTTTTATCCTTTCTTCTTTTCACCTTTCACATTAATAACAGCATTGAAGTAAAAGGACTTAATCATATCTTCCAACAAATGTCCGAGTCATGACAACATTTTGCTGTTAAGCTGCCAACAGTTACTATACTATTTGATAGTTTATAATCCGACCATTTAGTTGTTCTGATACAGATGATGAAGCAAAGGCATAAAGTGGAGAGAGAAAATAATATTGGGGAGGAAGTTGGGTGGTCAAAAAATGTTCAAGTTGCAAAGTCAAACCCAAAGCTTGCAGCCATGAATAAGAAGTTTGGCATGATTCATGGATTATCCTCCCTTGCTAATATAATGTCGTTTGGGAGTCTAGCAATACACTCTTGGTACTTGGCAGGTAAAATTGATCTCTGATTCAGTTTCTGCTTCCCGTTCTGTTAAAGACAATTGAGCTCCTTGTGAAGAGCTATATAAGTGAAGATCCCAGTGTTTTCTTTATCTTCCAGATACTTGTTTATTGTGTCAAGTAAGTGTAGAATGTCTGTGTAATTTATGAAATGTATTATCAAATTACTACAGCATATTGGTTGGCCAATAGAATCTCATGGGGTTGCCATGGAAAGTGGAAACACAATGTAATCACCTTACTTCACATTAATAAAAAAAAAGTAGTCTCTGCCGTAAATTAAAAATCTTTACCATTTTGCCTTTTCGTAATTCACTAATTTTTTGCTACACGTGAAGGTTTACATTTTGCTACTCAGTTCAAATTACGGGTGTGGAATGAATGATGGATTCGATAAATTTTGGATTAAAATGTAATGGATGGATTGAATAATTCATTTAAATACGTAAAAAAGTATTAAAAATTTAAGGGATAGATATTCAACCTAAATTATATTAATTTTTTTTTTCAAAAACTACTTTTCTGAAATAAAGTTCAATATATGTATACATTCTTGTACTTTAATAATCTAAGGTTCAAGATCTATCTCTTAAATACTTATGCTTAATGAACTTTGGGCCCCAAAATATCAGTTTCGTTTTTTCTTTTCTTATTCAAAATATATATACAAAAGGTTAATTGACCATCCAAAAAATATTAACTGTACTTATTTTGTTCTCTTATTCAAAATATATACAAAAAGTTAATTGTCCATCCCATAAATATTAACTGTACTTATTTTGTTCTCTTATTCAAAATATATACAAAAAGTTAATTGTCCATCCCATAAATATTAACTGTACTTATTTTGTTCTCTTATTCAAAATACACACAAAAAGTTAATTGTCCATCCCATAACTGTACTTTTTTTTTTTCTTTTAACATAGTGAATTTTTTTCTACCAGAAAAATATATTTCAATTACATTACACTTAAAATAATTCGATACATACTACTAGAATTCATCTATACTTATATATAAAGGAAAATTTTCATTTTCATGTACACATTTTGTTTGACATTTTTATCCTTTTGTGTTTATTATTTGTCAGTTAAATAATAAAATTTACAAAAAATCACAAAAGTGTAAAACAAAATAACTATTGATAATTGTAAAATCGTGTTTGACAGTTTTTTCTATAAAAATAATTTGTTTTATTTTTTTCACTTTTTTTTAATTAATTTTACCTAAGGTATAAAGTTTCTCTTTCCTTCTTTTAATAAAATGGTTTTACCGTGAGAATACTACCCATTGAAGGTTTTTTTTTTTTTTTACAACCCATGGAAGTTAATAAAAAATGAAACAAAGAAAAATGACATGGAATAAAACCTGATCAATTATATCTCCATTCTTTATCCAGAAAAAAAAAAAAAAAAGAAACAGGAGAACATGAGGTATACAAATTAAAAATTCATGAGTCCATTAGTTCGAGTTCTTTCAAGAAAAAAAAAAGATTTTTTTTGGTATAGCAAAAAAAATATTAAAACACCTTTAAAATTTTATTATAGTTAAATTTTTATTTAAAATAATAGACTGTTTTATTTTTAAATATAAATAGATTATAATTTTGTAATAAGAATGATACTATAGTTAAAAAAATCCAATCACCAACTATATTTAAGACATGTTTGACTGAGGTTAACAATTTTCTTTGATTTCATGGACTGAAAAATGGTTTAAAATGTGTCGATTCTTTTTATACCATACATATACATAGATCGTTGTGTATTTATTTTTTCCTTCACGATCACCCCCGTGTTCTCTATCTCAGTAAAAAATCAAACACGGTATTCGGTTGTTAATTTTCGATTTTCCCAAACGTGTAAACCCATTTTTTGAGTCCTCAATTTCAACTAGACTGAATGCAGCAAATAGGGGCCCGGATTAGAATCGCCTGCAATTTAGAAAGAAAAAAACTGCACGGTGGTGCCACTGCATCCAACGGATGCATGTGATTTTAAATGTAATTTTTCAAATTATAATTATATGAAAATATTTTTACGGCCTAGATTTTGTGCATGTTTATACAACTGTAGAGAACCATGATCCGTAGCGTACGACATGTAGCATCAACATTAAAGTAGTTTTGGCACAATACTAAATAGTTAAACGTTCGGCAGGAAGGATAAGAAACTACTGGTGAAAAGACAAAATCATAGACGACTCATCACAGCTTCCACCTCAGAGGGGATATAAAGATGATATGTTGGAGCCACCTTGGCAATGTCAACGTTATTATTATTTCCCATTCCATTTCATCAATTCGCAGAACATGCATCCCATTTTATCCTTACCTTCTCTTCCATAACTTGCTTCAAAATGGACAAAGCAATAGTCTCGGCTTCCTGAAGAGTTAGGTCCTGCACAACATAATAAATTAACACCAACTTGCATTGTTTTAAAGTCATGTTACAGCATGTTATGGTTCAACGTTATTTTAGAAAAATAATCACTCAATTATTTTTAAAACACTCTCAGGAAACTAAAGGAAGCGTCGTCTAGCACGAAAGATTCGTTATTTATAATGGTAGGTAATTATTTTGTAGCATGTCTTCATTCTACTCTGCCTGCCCTGCCAAGAGTGATGTGTATCAGGTCTCCTCATTTCTTTATGTTTTCACTCTTTTCATTTTCCAATCCTAGTCAACTATATGTTTACTTTTAATAATCAGAATAGTAGGTTTAGAAACAATCGATATAAATTTGTTGATACCCTGATGTATTGTTCTTGAAGAGAATTGTCTGCATCTTCTGACCCCGAACCAATCGCTTTTCCATTGCATTGCCAAAATGTGCCATGAAAATCAGAACGTTTCAATACAGTAAACATAAGTAGTTCAAAATAATAAAGGATTTGAACCACACCAGTAGCAATATTAAACTACATATCATTTAGTGACTCAAACAATGAAGTCTAGGCCAACAAAAACAGAATACCGATGATCGTCATTGGTGTGTCTGACATACATGAACATGAAAATTGTTTACAATTGAGCCTTAAACCTTTTCAGATAAGTGACATACAAGCAACCCCCTCGAATGTTTCCTGTTTAAGATAGAAACTTCCAAGTTGCAACCATGAACTGATTTCAATTGAGAAGCTAAAAGATCCATATATACTGTATTGGGAGTTGAAACTAGCTGGGTAAACAGCTGAACCACACAAATGAATTTATGCCACCAATCAATGATAAGAGAAGTTAAAGGTACATTGTTGAATCTAAAATAGCATTCTTTTAAAACCATAAAAAGATTGATAAGGTATTAAGGTGAGACAGTACTACTAGGATAGAAATAACTGCAAAGAACGTCACAGTTCCAACTTCCTATGACAAAAGAAGACGAAATATACAGTGCATTCTTTAATATTTTTTTTCTTAAAAATCACTTTTGAAATATTTTAACATGTTTGGGTAAGCCATGAGATTTTCTATAAAAAAAAAAAACCGAAGAAGACCAGATTTTATATTATTTGAGGAACTACAGTGAATAACTTTTAAACCATCAAGCTCATATAATCCAAAAATGGAAAAGTATGAGTTTTGTAATTATGTTGAACACCAATATTCCTTGGGTATTTCTGGATGTATATTCGAAAATTATCCAATTATATATATATATATATATAATAAATTGTAGGATACGGGTGGACAAGGCTCATGCTTGGTCAAATACGCGGCTTAAAGACGGCTCCGGTATGGCTTGGATGCATCTGAATATTTATATCTCCTTTGACCAGCTTTTGCGACTGTTATAATATTTTATAGTTTTGCCTTTTGAAAAGTCTCATATTGGTAGTGATAAATCCCTTTCTTTAGACTTTAGAGTTTTCCCTCCTTTGAGGGACAGCGTCATCTCCTTCTTGGCAGTTCTTCCCTGTCTTCCCGCGAGTGGGGGGTCTTTCTTTGTTGCGTTTCTATTCTCGGGCAGTACAGGCTCACCTTCTGCTTTTGGGTTTTGGGTCTCTCTTCTGGGCTGGCAGTTTTACTTCACCTTTCACTGACTTATTGGTTCTTATGCTCACTGCTCTTCAGTTGTAAGTTTGGTGCTTTCACTGCTTTGGTTCAAATTTCAATCTTATGCTTCCACTCTAGTGCTTTGAGGCTCTTAGTATTACTGTTGGTATATATTCTGCCTCTATATAAAACTTCTATAAATTTTTGTTTAAGTCTCCAAAACGTGCCGTATCCTAACTTTCAAAAGTTGTCGTATACGATATATGTCCAATTTAGAAACTGTTAAACACCCAAGTAGTTAATCAAGTCAATAAGTGATTACTCATCAATCCCTCTTGATCATGGTCAATCAGTAAAAAATTGTAACTATTCTTCAAATATTTTTTGTCCAGAATTTTTTTTTTTTTTTTTGTACTTTCACTTATCCCCAGCGAAAAGCATAATATACTAATAATAATGACATCAATTTAAAATGATCAGCTATATCGAAGATAAAGACATACGAACTTTTAATGTAATAGCAGGCTAAACACAGAACACGAGCCAAAAGGACAACTCCATCACAATACCCACAATTGGCCATTGCTTAATAGATGGAAGAAATACTTGCAAGCTAGGTCCATTCTCATCCTGGCCAGCAATGAGGAGAGATACCCCAAATGGTCGAGACTGCCAAAGAGAAAAGAAATGGCGAATGTGAAAATACAAACATGATTATCTACTGCAACACGGACACTGCCTGATAGGGCTACGATAGACCAGCCCAAGCCCAAACGTGTTACATGGCCCAATTTTTGTTTAAATATGTTTTTTACATTAGAATAATCTCAGCCCTACGCGTGTAAAGGCTCGCCTCATTGGATCTTTTATGTGAAACTATAAATGTATTTTTCTCTGTTGAATGAAAGGGTAGAAGAATACTTTTGCTTATCTTAGTTAATCCTAGTATAGCCCGCGGTGGGTAATTCAATTCTATCACTGCTATATAGTATTTTGTACAAAAAATAAAATAAAATTTATCGGCACATGCTGCTACTGAACCAGTCTGCCTGAAAAGCATCTTACAAGATTTAAATGGCCACATTCAATAATTGATGTGTGATGCAACATGAGATCTGTACGTTCCAATTTGTTTAGGTAAATAACTTTCTTTTTATATCTCCAAACAACAATTGTGAAATGCAATATATAAGGCATCGGTATATCTGGCAGGAACATAAATAAGAAGCAAATCTACAAAAAAAAAAAAATATGTTCATAAATTAGTTTTCCACTT